AAGTAAGTAAGTAAGTAAGTAAGTAAGTAAGTAAGTAAGAAGAAGAAGAGAGAGAGAGAGCGAGAGAGAGAGAGAGAGAGAGAGGGAGACCGCTATTGCCGAAGCAGCAAGGCCAATTCGTTCTCGTGGATCCTTGTTATAATATCTGCATAAGTAGAGAGTTGCAGCACAGTACCATATCAATGGGCACAAAAATCCTAAAAGCAAACTGCAAGAGAGATTGACATAAGCATGTCAAAAAAAGGATGTACAGGAGGAAAATCCATATTAGGAAGAGTCCATACTCACGATGACCATCCAATGCCACAACCATAGCATGGAAGTGGTTTTTCAAACAACGCCAATCTTGGGTCTTCTTCATCTCTTATCAGAACATATTTTCCACCACAGTCCTCACAGTCAGAAGATTTCCCTGTATTCATCATAAGATCTCAAGAATTACACTTTGATATGGTACTCGAAAGAAAACTCATTGAGTTAAAAGCTTAAATATTTCAAGTTTTACAACGAATACTATTTCCCCAATGGTTGAATTATTTAGTCACAGAACCATTGGATATCTTTAATTTTGATGAGCCTGATGAGGTTTCAAATGCACAATAATCACAAAGGCTTCAGGAAATCTATCATTAAAAAGTACTGAATATACTTCAGGTTTATGGCTACTCTGCAATAAATTAAGCCTTCGTGGCCTTTGGTCTCAAATCACGTCAAACAGAAATTCACTCAACGCCTTAAAGAATAGTTAAAATTAAATGAATCAACTTCTATACTGATGATAGATGGTGTTTATCGTGGGACATTGTTTCTGTACAGGCAGAATTTGGCCTGGTACATCCAAATCCCTGATAACTAGTGTGTTGGTGTCAATGTTCAGTATATAGTACAACCCCAGATTTCTTCATTCTGGAATCAAGAAACAGAACTCTTCTACAACCAAGGGAGCTCAATTCCTTCCAGTTGTTGGGAAAATATATATGAAACAACTATTTTGCATTATGCATTGATATTTACCAACAAAAGTAGACCCAGGGACCCGTATTGGAAAGTTCATCAATGTTCATATATCTGTAGTTCCATTTTATAAGAAGGAAATACCATTCAGTGTGCAATTGAAAGAGATGAAAATTTGCAAGTGCACATTTTACTCACTGTGTGGTGTGTGTTTTGGCCTACACTAACATCTGAGAAATCATAAAACGAACTCATATCCGATACCAAAAGCTATCATTCAGATTGCACAAGAATGAGAAGAAAAGGCTTACTAGAGAAATATCAAGCACTAGGACACAATTACCTTTCTCCATGCATGCATGAACTGCAGGATCGAATAAACAGTCAGTTCGTATGCGTGGATTGCTTTATTGGAGAAATAAGCAGTTCTTGACCTTTGTAAATCTTAGTACACCTGGTTATAGTGTGATGGAATTGCTGTAAGTTTTCATCAAAAGTTGAGCTTATCTTTTACCACCAAATGATACAAAAGTAAGCATATGAGAAAAGAAAATCATGAGCAGATGAAAAAAAAAGAAAGCTTGCACAAATATCCCCAGTACAGAATCCGTTCACAGAAAAGGGCATAACATTCTTAGGGCACCATGATATAGCCTACAAACTGGAGGATTAAATTTACTAGATTTCAGTTTATGAAGCCATAAAAAGCACCAAATGGTCTAATAATAAGCACTCTGCCTATATCTACGAAAGAGGCATCTTGGAACAGACAATTGTAATTCAATAATCAGACAATCAAGATAAAAATCTGCAGAAGGATATGTTCACTAATGTGGATGAAATGCCAAAGGTTTGCTACACACTTCATTTTTATTCCAGAGTTCAAAGTTATTTAAGCCAGCCAGCCTATATTACACAGATAACCTATTTTTGTAATCATAATCAATCTTGATACTTGCACCAAAGTCTAAAAGAAAAAACTTCATCCTTACTTTTTAGAAAAAGAACACATAGACCCATAATAGAGTTGTGTCTTAACATCCTTAGCCATATCAACAGGTCAAATTTTCACATGTTCAACCCATGAAAAAGGGTTGTGCGACCTTCTTAGATCTCTGGAACATGAAACTCTGATGGTAAAATTGACATGCCTGACGCTAACGTGCTACGTGTTACGTATTATTGTCAAAAACAAAAATTTTATCCCTAATCTCAACTTCCCTAGCATCCAATTTTTCTCTCTTCCCGAAACCCCTACATGAATCTGAGACTCCCTTCCTACAGCAGACAGTTTTGCAGAAAGCAGATGAACCCGCCAATTCGTCTACTCCTAACGCCACCTCAAGGGCAACCAGATTAGAGACGAAGTGCCATCTCATATCTACCCGCAAGATTCCGAACGACAATGGACTCTATTCATTTAAAATCGAGTATATCCGAAACTACAAGATCGAGAAGAACGAGATTCGCTCTTCTCGATTCGCAGAACGAAGAACAGGAAATGAACTAAAAGAAGAAGAAGAACTAGAGATTTGAGATGATTAACTCAACTGCGAAATAGATGGTGTGAGATCAAAGGAAAGCTCACAAGCAACAGCGCCAAGAAGAAGAGACTAGACGGAGGTCGATCGAGTCGTGCGCATCCTCTTTTTGTGGGTTAAGGTTTTAATAGTGTGCTAATCCGACACCGCGGTAAAGGTACCGCCCAAGATATCCATCGGATGCATGCATCTTTTAACGGGTCGGATTTCTTGCCTTCGTGATATCCAACTTGAGGTAAAGATATGTTCACAGGATTGCATGTATCTTGTAGCGGGTCGGAATTTTTGTATAAGTTATACCAATTCTGAGGTGAAGACACCATCCGGTACATCCATAGGATGGCATCTATATTGTTGCGGGTCGAACTTTAAGACATCCGCAGTACGACATGTATATTTTTGGTGTTTGCGATATCCAATTCGCTTAAGTCGGAAATAATTACTTCCTTTCCTTTATTCCCAAAAAGTACTCTTTGACCATTTGGTCTAAAAGTGGGCCCCAAAAAAGTATCTGAGAAGGGTATTCGGTCAATGAGTCATAAAATCTTTTGCCCTTTGTTCCATATGACTCGCGTTCGACGGCAATCTTACCTTAGCGTCCACTTCAGAAAGCTTGTGTTCATCGTTTCGTCTCTCCAAGAATTCCTTAGGCAGAGTAACCTTCTTCCTCTCCTCGAGAAACCCTTTTGTTCTTTTCTTATAATCGAATCCTTTATGTAACTTTGATTCGAGATCAGGCCGCATCTCTGATGCTTCACTCATCTTGCATGCTTTCAGCCGGAGGACGAGAGAAAGACGGTCTTCTTCTCCTGCCTCTTGTCATCGAGATGAGACAGTGGACCAAAAGGCGGCCATGGCACGCCATCGCCGCCATCTCTGCCGTCTTCGGGGTGAGCGTCTTTAGCTCCAAAGTCCAACAGGAAAGAAGGAGAGAAGCATGCGATGCAGAAGAGTCCCAGGTCATCTTGAAAGCAGGCAAGCACAACGACGCAGAACGCGGAGTTGTGTTCCACAGCATCGGCTCTATGATCTGGTCAGCCAAGGTTGGTCGCAAAGATGGTGAGGCACGCCATGGCGGAGAAGATGGCCGCCAGGTGCAAGAATCAGCATCCTCGTCAAGTGCAAGCAGCATGGGTTCCAAGAACTCGCCTAACCAAAGAACAGGACGTTAGGAGATGACGCGTGCATGGAGGTTCTTGTTCTCTCTTTCTTTCCCTTGACTGTTGCTATTGCATCCATGCTTGGAGTGAGATTTGATTCCTTGAGAGTTGTGAACTCATTGTAAAATCACATCTAGGCCAACGTTTTCTCCAATCGATCCTTCCAATCGTTGTTGATGGCGTGATGTAATGATCGTAATCTTCCTCGGTTAGGATGAACAGTTTATAGTTCTTTGATTGTGGCGTGGCACAATAGCAAACTTTCCTACATATTTGTCTCCTATTCTTCTATTTATTTTTTAGTAATTTAATTTTTTAATATAAATAAAAATATTAAAAATATTAATTAGTTTAGTCAGTAAAAATTTTGACAGTATGTGGTAAGGACTTTGACTCAAATCTCACGTTCATCACTTTATATATATATATATATATATATATATATATATATATATATATATATATATATAT